GCACAGGAGTTGGGACTTTATTTCACAGGCAGTTGAAAACCACTGCGCAGTTTTAGATAGGTGACAGGGTCAGATCTTGGTTCTGAAACACTGCTACCGTGGCAGCGGAGAGAGGAGGATGAAGGGTGGTGACCAAGAAAGCAAGAGACCAGACCAGTAAGGAGGCTGTCGAGAGTTCTAAAAGGAAATTGCAAGGGAGTGATGGTGGAGATGGACTTGGAAGGTATTTTAGAAGTTGAAATGAAAGGCAGTACTCTGGATGAGAGAAGTGAAGAAAAGCAAGGCTTCAAGGACCTCCCAAGTTTTGGGTTAGCTGAGTGGCTCAAGTAGATAGTGTTGCCATTCACTGGGACATGAATCATGAATATTTCTTGAGTACTCACTGGCGAAGCATGTCTGGGAAATCAGCTAAGAACGAGACAAAGTGCCTGCTCTAAGGGAATTTACAGGGCAGGGGGTAGTTTTTATAAACAGAAGGCCACATTAATAAACAAATTGCAATATATACATTGCAATAAGGAAACAAACAAGGGACTTAGAAAAAAATAGGCTCAGAAGGCTTCTCTGAGTAGGAAACATTTAAGGCTTAACAGATACGGAAAAACCAGTGTATGATGGACGAGTGTGTGTGCACAAGCAAGACTTCGTGCTGGGGACAGGCAAGCACTCCAGGCGAAGGAAACAGCAGGTGTGAAGCACCAAGAGCGAGAAAGTGTTTGAGGAGTTTAAAGAACAGAAAGATGATTAGCTGGCTACAGGGATGAAGCGTTGAAAGTGGCAGACTATGCGTTTGTAGGGCCCGATCACCCAGGAGCTGGAAGGCCATGCTGATGAGAACAGTCCTGCCAGAAAAGGAATTGATTCACAGTAAGAGAGACAAGGAGAGGGACAGAAAGAACTTCAGGTGAGAGGGCCTGGAGATCCGGAGCACAAGTGGAAGAAGTGGCCTTCCACTTTGCAAAATGAGAAGGTGATGGTTTCGTGTCTAAGTAGATCTGCAGGTTTTGTGGTAGGAAGTTCGTATCTCATGACTTCTATTTTCTTAAGTAGAAACAGTCACCAGCCGAGCGAGAATGTGGGGACAGAGTGTGAGAGCCTTGAAGAGACTATAGGATCAACTAGTCATTTCCAGGAGCAGGACAGCGAACTACTAGGGAAGCACAGGAGGGGTGTTGGGTAGTACTACGTGCCAATTTGAGGTTAAAATCTTGACTATGATGTGTGGCCTGTCAGCACAGTTGTGTGATTTTTCTCTAGCAACGTTCAGTCACAAACAGCGTGGATAATAGGGTGGACCCTGGGATGGAGTTTCGCTAGGCCAACTACATTTGTAACTAAGGTCAACCATGACCTTGCGTAACAACTGTTTTGACAAATTGGTTATAAAAACTAGATAAAAATGGAACAAGAAATTAACAAAGCTTAGAGGCAGAGAATTCTAAGGACTCTTTCAGTAGAGTTGCTATAAAGGGCTCGATACAGAAATAGAAGGAAAAACTGGTTAGGAGAGTTTTCCACATGTTAGGAGGTAAAATTAGGGAGAGAGAGAGAGAGATTAAGAGTATAGGACAGCAGCCCTGGCTGGCGTAGCTCAGTGGATTGAGTGCGGACTTCGAACCAAACCATTGCATGTTCAATTCCCAGTCAGGGCACATGCCTGGGTTGCAGGCCACAGCCCCCAGCAACCACACATTGATGTTTCTCTCTCTCTCTCTCTCTCCCCCTCCCTTCCCTCTCTAAAAATAAATAGACAAAATCTTAAAAAAAAGAGTATAGGAGAGCAATAACCTAAATAATAGGTCAGCATTAGTGCATACAAAAGCTAGAATTAGGAAAACAGGGAAAAATGTGCCTCAGACAAGAGGAAGAGTAAAGACACAAGTAAATACAGGGTGGGGCTAAAGTAGGTTTAGTTTTTCTTATGGAAAAATATGATAATTAATCAATAACACCACAAGAATAAACTGTGTTTTGCATATAACTGTAAATCTACTTTTGCCCCACCCTGTATGTAATAATACAATTGATATCGAGAGTAGCTACCATGTTTTTGGTTCACAGGCCAGCGCTCAGTCCACTGAGCCACACCAGCCAGGGTCAAGAGTAGCTAGCTACCATTTCTTGAGTGCTTACTGTGTGCCAGGCACTACTCTACAGGCTTTATAGGAACTTTATTTAATCCTTATAATAATTATTCCAAGAAAGATTCATTTGACCTGGCTGGCGTAGCTCAGTGGATTGAGCGCGGGCTGGGAACCAAAGTGTCCCAGGTTCGATTCCCAGCCAGGGTACATTCCTGGGTTGCAGGCCAGAACCCCCAGCAACCACACATTGATGTTTCTCTCTCTCTCTCTATCTATCTATCTATCTATCTCCCTCCCTTCCCTCTCTAAAAATAAATAAATAAAATCTTTAAAAAAAAAAAAAAGATTAATTTGCCCAAGACCACCCAGGTAGAAAAGGAAGATTTGAACCTAGGCGGTCTGCTTCTAGATGCCTAGTCCTTAACCTTTACATTATAATGTGGGGAGAGGAAGAAATTGAAGTTGACAAGTTCACACCTAATAGCTTCCATAGTAGTAGCCTCTTAGCAACTCTGGAGGCAAAGTCAGCTGCAAACCAGGGTTGGGGTAGACGGTGAGGTTTTGAGATAGCCTTGTAGGGGACTGTGAAAGGAAGCTGCCCAGAGGACTGGGGTGCTCAGAGGCGAGCAGCAGCACATAATGCTTGTAGACGCTGAAGGAGGTCAGAACAGGCCTCCCAGAGATGTGCCACTTTGGCATGTGAATTATTTTCAGTGGAAGATGATTGAGACCCTGTACACTTAGGAGAAACTTTTACCTCTCCCTTAGAGAATTTAAATTTGGGGCCTTGGCCTTAAGCGTTATTACTAGAAATAACTTTTCATGACCTATCTATAAGGCGGGGCAAAGTTCTAATTACTTGCCACTTGCTCTTCTTATCATTCTAAGAATGACCTTTCTCTCCCTCTGAAGCTCCAAGGCATCTTATCTCAGCTCAGAAAGTCACATACAAGGTCTGTGCCGAAGGTTTCCAGCCATGTAATATGAAAAATAGGGACATTAACTGAAGAAGATACAAGATGCAAGAAACACTGTACATAGGACAATGACGACTCAGTCCCTTTCAAAGTAGGCACCTTGGGACCTCACACAGTTCTCCCAATTGCCATCAGCCCCGCCCCATCGTATTTTCCTGAATCTCATCCATAGTCTGAAACCTTTTCCTTTTACAAGGTGATTTTAGTTTTTGGAAAAGCCAGAAGTTGCAGGCTTTAGGGGGCCGAGTCACCTGGCTGATGTGATGTTTCACCAAAAATCTCTGTACCAGACAAGATGCAGGAGCTGGCGTGTTGTCATGATGAAGCTGCCAATCACCAGTTGCCCATAGCTGCGGCCTTCTGAATCATCCACACAGTAGCCATGGTTAGCCATTCAAGCTTAACGCAAAATTTGATGCAGGTTCACTGCTCTACTCGCTCAGTCATTTTGAATGTGACGGCCACACAGTACACATGCTCACTCAAAGTATCTAAGGCCCCTCACTCACTAGTGCAGTGAAGTCATCATTATTCATACACGAGCATTCCAGTCTATGCTCTTTGGCTGTTAGGCTACATCATGTCACACAAACATTCTCATTATATTAGCAATGGCTGAACTTTTTCCAGACAGTCCTTGTACACCTTGTTTTACCTTTCTGTCTCTGAACCTCCCATGTATATGGAGTTTCCTTATTTACTATGTTATTAAGTTCAGTTACTTTCTCTTGTTAATCTGTCTCATGTTGATTTGATTATGGGACCGACCAATCAAAAGAACCTAGAAGGGAGAGGAAAACTTCATCCTCCTCCACAACTATTTCACAATAAAACCTCAGGCTGGTTATTATTTTTTAATTGGGACCTTCAGCCTTAATAAAGAAAAATGGGAGAAGATTAAGGGGGCTAATTTTATGCAGGGCTTCCCACATTGTAATGAAATTGGCCCCAGGCCATACATCATCACGGTATCAATGAGAACGTAGGTGCTCCATAAAATTGTTGGTGTGTGCAAGTAAATGAAAAGCATAGCAGCCCTAGGGTGGATGTTCCTTTGACCTCAGCTTAAGAATCCCTTCTATGATCACCCTATAATCAAACTAAACTGAGGCTGGCAAACTGCTGAGGGAAAGTGCTGGCTACTAAGGCACAGCGCTGGTCAAGGCGAACGTTCCCCCGCACCGCCCCCTGCCGTGAGCCTTCAGCGTGCTCCGCAAACTTCAGGCGGGTAGCCAGTGCGTAAAGGTAAGCTTGAGAGGTCACTGTTTGCTCCTTGTCCACTCCAGCGCTGCATGTTCCCTTGATTGGTCTGTCTTCCCAGTAAGTTGCTTTAAAACACACAATTAAGGCCTCGAATGCTCTCCTAATTGGTTCTTGATTTTTTCAGCGTTTGCTGCCCATCTCCCACCGTATGACAACCCAGCCCCGGGAAGCGACCGCTGCAGAACGTGACTTCAGGTCGCTCCAAGGAGCAGGGTTGCACTGGGGTCGCATCACGGCCTCCCGGAAGCCCCGTCCAAGCCCCACTAGCGCCTCGCCTCCCACCCGCGACTCCGCCCCTACCTGCAGGCCGCATTGCCGTAAGCAACACTCTCCCCCCGGAGTGGGACAGCCAGACATAGCCCGGACTAGGGACACCCGCTGCTCCCCTTATTCGCACGGCTTTGCTCCTGGCGATCCACGTGCACTAACGCAGAGAGGCCTTAAATACAATCAGGCGGTGCTGAAGCCATCCCAGGGGCGGGGCGTACAAGACGGTGAACGAGCCTAGGAGGGCCTCGCTGACTGGCAAGCCGGCGGCTCAGGCCCCTAACTGGGAGGCGGGGCCAACGAGGTTGGAGGCGGGGCTAGGAGTCGTGAACTCAGGCACAACTGGGGCTCGAGGGGCGTGACTAACCGGGCGAGAGGCGGAGCCTGGGAGGGGCTTGATGACTGAGCGATCTGGCTGTGCTGCGACAGCCGGTGAGAAGGCTGGGAAGATGGCGGCCTCCTGGAGGCTAGGCTGTGACCTGCGGATGCTGCGCTATCTCCAAGGCTTCGGCTGCCGGCGAGGCCTGGGGCTAGTTAAGGGAGCTGGTGGGTGGACTGCTGGCCGCGGAGCTAGTTGGAGATGGTTTCACAGCACTCAGTGGCTACCAGGTGAGTGACCGAAGCTCGCTCAGCTTCTATGTGTAAATGAGCAGTGGGGCAGGGTCAGGGGCTTTTTGATTGAGGTCCTGCATTTGGATATGGAGGTTTTCGGGGCTCCCCGTTCCCTAGGCCTTAAGAAAAGGGGAGGGGTCCGCTGATTTGACCGCCTAATACGTGCATGCTCCGAAGGGCTTTCCTGGGAGCAGGGAGAACTTGACTCCGTTTTTGGCCTCCTGGTTGGTATGGTTTCTTTTGACCTTGCCTTGGAATTTGGGGTTGCGGGGGGGGGGGGGGATTGCGAGGCGCGAAGATAGGTCCTAAACGCCCTTCTCTGAGGCCCCTTCCTAGTCAAGTCTCAGGTTCCTTTAGGGTTGTCAAGCATCCCTGTCTGGGAGAATCTGCCTAAGGTTGCTGAGATTGAAAAGCCACTTTTGGCTGTTCTTATTCATTCTTTTGGCTTTTCCCTACTGGGAGACCTTTTCTTCTAGGCCACCAGGGTTGCTCCACGCGACGGCTAGTAAAGGACTTAATACGTAAATGCCCACCGCATCACAGACATAGGTCCAGCAAAACGTGAGCATGAATGAGTGAAAAGTTAGGAGAGGAAATCTTACCATGAAATTTATTATAAGAAATCGCCATTTGTTGATGATATTGGCACAACAGTTCTTCCGGTATTTAACAATAGATATTATAGCATGTGAGGCATTATTTATCTTTACATGGGGGTGGGGCGGTGTCACAGGATTAACATTTTTTTAATGTAACCCTTTACCTGCCAATCATCATTCTGGCACTGCACAGAATGAACTTTAATCTAAAAAATAAGGTGCAATAGACATTGCCTGCATATTTTGGGCTGCCCAAGGCTTGGAAAAAAAGAGTAAGTTACACAAAGTCACGCGGTAAGATGAATGCACTGAGATTTCTAAAGATTTGATGATGGGGATAATTTATTTCAGTTTCTTCAGGTTAATGTTTCATCAAATACTTGGAGCAGTGGTTCCTTAACTGTGTATAGAATTCCCTTTTCCTCCCAGTTTATTAAATATTGAACTTTCCTACAGCTCCCAGAGATTTTGCCTGAGGTGGAGCTCAGCTATCTGAATTTTACAAACAGCCTTAGAGGAGTTTTGATATTTTCTGTTGTTGTTTGACAAGCTACACTTTGAGACTCACTGCCTTAGAAAAGCATGGAATAGGAAAAGCCCGGTGTTGGAAATAATCTAGGAAGAGTGTTTCTAACCTTGTTTGTAAAGCAGATCGTTTTGAGAATATTTGAATGCTCTAGATCCTCTCTACAGAGAAATGGGCATATGTTCTTGCAGGTTAGGAGGCTTTCCTTAGATCCAGTTTAAGGACCCCTGCCTTTAGAAATTCACTTAGGTAATCGTTACCTGATGTATTTTCCCCTCCCCTGCTCCCCATCCCCCAAGTGTGACTAACTTGTCTAACTCTGCTTGACCATCATCTGTAAGGAAGAGGACACGACATCCCCAGGAAGCTGTATGAGTTTCCTAGTGCCTCCCTCTTTCACATATTAGCACCCTTGTGATTGCATCAGGCCTACCCGAGAATATAGGATGCTTTCCCCATCTCAAGGTCCGCTGCTCAGCAACTTGAATTCCTTCTTAAACCTTAATTCTCCCTTGCCACGTAACCTAACATCTTCACTGAGTGAAGGTTCTGGGTGTTAAGACCAAGACATCTTTGGCAGGGTGGTGGTGAGGGGAGTGTGGGCATTATTCTGCCTACCACAGAAGCCAATTGTGTTGTAGGGTAGCTCTAAGTTATTTGAAAGGTTTAGAGTTTTTCCCTAATCCTGAACCAAAATTTGTGTCCTGTTCTTTCACCTACAAGGTTTAGCTTTGCCATGCTGAATACACATGGCAATTCTTGTGCTCCTGGTTCTACAGAGCAGCATGACTTTACATGGTGATTGTTCCTTTTTCTCTGAGCTTGGTAGAAATTGTTTCATAAAATTAAGCAACTATTTGGTAATCTATAGATTATGTGAATTAAGTATGATTATTGGACTATTTTCTTTTTTTATGTCTGTGATTTAAAAATATGTCAGATGGAAGTATACTTGGATTTTGATTTCCTGAAAAGGTATTTATTGGCAGCATTTTTATGAGCTATGACATATGCCATGTTTAGCACTTCCTAGAAAGTCCTTATTCACTTCCCATAACAACCTAATAAAGTTGGCATTATCTACATTTTATTGGACAAAAATACTAAAGCTCAAAGAAATTAAGTGGGTCTCTCAAAGCCACATAGCTCTAATGATAATGAACTGAAGAATGAATAAATATATAGTTTTTATCTTGTTGAGTACATTCCTAACTTGTTTTATTCTTTCAACTGAGATACTTATTGAGAAGGCAGGTACTTACCGTTATTCACCATTCTACTGATATGAGTGAAGGAATGAACATTAGGCTACATGGTAGCCCGCTTGGAAACTGGTTGTCCTATAGAATGGAACAGAACTCTGTATTTGGCACATGGCCCATTCAATCATAGTTAGCTTCTGGAGATGCAGTCCTAATTCTGTGCAGTCTGCTTGGGGAGATACTAAGGGTATGATTTCCATAGTGTGTGTAGTGAGCTCTGAGGGCTAAGTGCAGGATAATAATGGGGTACCTAAGAAGGCTTCCTAGAGGTAGCATCCCTTCCAGGTTAAAAGAACAGCAGGTACAAAGGCCCAGAGGCCAGATGTGGTATTGACATAAGTGATACAGCATCTGTAAATAGTTTTTCAAACTAGCCTAGGCAATTAATTTTGGAGAGTTTCCACTGCTGCCCTTTCAGGCTAAATGGCATTGTTTGGAATTTAATTAATTAATAACTAAGATGTTAATAATATTGGTTGTAAGTTCTTTCTGAGGAATAACATGTTGAATTTAAAATAACATGTGAGTAGAAAAATAAATGAGGTTCAACCTTTGTAGAGCTTTACCTAATATATGGCTACAGGCCTTGCATATTATACATGGTAAATAAACAGCTAGGGAAGCTAAAAATCTGGAAAGTTATAAAAGGACACAGAGGCCCACAGTAGGATTGCAGATTGGCAGCCAGTAAACTGACGTAGGCAGTGCATTTATAGTAGTTAGTGATCTAGATAATTTTCTGCAATCAAGACTTTCTTGTATTACATGAAAAGCATTGGTTTTTAGCGAGGCACGAATCTGTTTGAAAACTCTTAAAAGCTGTACCACTTTTTCAAAAAAACACACACATAGAAAAATTTTTATGTGATTCCAGGGAACTCAAAATCTCCCTGCAACTTATAAATTACTGCCTATCCTACCCTGCTTCCATAAACATTTTGGGCATTTCCCACAGAAAATAGTTGTGCGACTTTGCAAGGATACTTACTATGTCTGAGAATAAGGAAGATGTGTTTGACAATAGGGATTCCAACTGTAAATAAATGACTAGTGGATGTATTTACATAAGCGACTACAACAAGGCCACTGATTTGGAAATCTTGATTCAGATCTGAGTTTGGATTAAATTGACTCGTGGATTTAGGCTCCTCAGACAATTCCTAGACAGTACCTAAACATGGGTACTTCTCTTTCATTTGCTCATGTTGTTCTCCTAACGGAATGATGTGGTTTGAAATTTTTCTCATTACTTAAGTGCCGCCACCCTCCTAAGTCTTTCTATAGGGTCCTGGCAAGGAACAGATGACATTGTTCCTTGCCAGGACCCTAAAAGTGGGTAAATAGAGCTGAGCTTGATAAATAACGATTTTTGTAAATTCCGGGTGTAGAGATGGTGCTATACTAAGGGGCTGTTTAGAGCAAGGTACTGTCACCACTTCTAGGCTTCAAGAGGCACGGGAGGAGCCAGTTACCAGAATTGGAGAGGAGGGAGCCTGTGGGAAGGCCCTGTGATGGAGATGAGCCCTTTAGTTAAAGGATCCAACGCGCTCCAGGTGACCCCCCCAACTGGAGGCCGAAACCCGTACAGTTGTGTGGGGGAAGGTTGAGAAGTACACCTGGATGGACAAATTGGGGGTACCTCCCACACCTAGTGGACTCTCAGTCATCAGTCATTGTAATTTACCTCTCAGTTTTAGCACTGGAACCAGCAAGTACTATACTTTATAGATATTTCATAGTGCTCATGCTCAGAGAGGTGAAGAGAGCAAGTATAATTTCTACACGTGGAAGAGTCATGTGTCCCTGGACTGTGTCCCCAGGGCAGTGCCTTGCACAAGAGTAAGCACACAGTTTTTATAACTGACCTGCTTTTCAGTGTTTTTTTTTTTAGTCTATATTTGAGTAGCTGACTAGAAATCAAGTTTATTAGTTTATAGTATTCTTTGGGCACTTTCATAGGAAGAAAGATTTTCCTTTGGTGCTGTGGCAGCTGATTCTGATTTTTGTTCTTTCACTTGTACTCCTAACTCATCCTTGACTCCTGACTTTCATATACCGCATCAATCCATGAAAATCCCTTGGTTCTACCTTTTAAGTGTAACCTGACCACTACCACTATGTCTACTACGACCTACTAGACTGGTCCAAGCCACCTCTAATCTAGATTCTTGCAGGAGTGTCTCAATAGATGTCCGTGCCACCACCCTTGGCCCAGTACAGACTGTTTCCCATGCAGCTTTCAGAGCACTTGTACATTGTAAGTCTGATCATGTCACTGAACACCCTCCAAGAGCTTCTTGTTAAACACGGAATGAAGCCTGAAGTCCTGGCTGTGGTTTACAAGGCCCCGTGGGAGATGAATGCCCTCTACCTCTCAACCTCAGCCTTACCGTGCCTCTCCCGCACTCACGCCAGCATGCCAGCTTCCCTGTGTTTGGCACATACCAAGCACGCTCTGTTCCATCTTTGTGCTCGCTGCTTCCTCTGTTTAGAAGGCTCTTGCATCAGATACGTGCGTGGCTTCCTCCATTCATCTCTGCTCGCTTTTTCAGAGGAGGCCTTCTCTGATCAGCTGATAAAATAGTTCCTCCACTGTCACTGTCCCCTTAC